TATATATATATATATATATATATATATATATATATATATACATGTATTGTTTACCAGCATTGTTGTGCCTGCTCACTTTAATAATGTTCCTAAAGATGAATGTTACTCTTCATATTCTGTCATATTCCTGACAGAATATTTACTCGCAATTGCTGTCCTACCACAAAAAGTTAATGACAGTTTTGCATTTTAGACCATATGGAATGATAATTTTGGATTAATGTGGACGTAGCCTTAAATTTCTTGCCATGTACTGATGTTTAATATGAAGTTCTCTCTGCTCTCATGATCTCCCAGTTGCCTTCTTTTCTTTGACAGGATAAAGAGTGTGTGAGAGTGTTTGAGTTAATGTGTGTGTGTGTTTGGCCAGGTCGCAGCACTATATTATTGCAAGCAACTTTTGTATTTATGAATTTTTTTCTCTACATTTTGGCCTTTTGTCTACACTGAGACAGCGTTTTTGTCTTAAGAGGATATATGAGGCTTTTTGCTTTTTAGTGTGGACTTTAAAAACTGAGGCATTTAAAAATTATGATGCATGTTTATTCATGTGACGTATTGTAAACATATACATATACATATATATATACATATACATATATACATATACACATATATATATACGTATATATATATATATATATATACATATACATATACTTTTCTCAGTCGGAGACAGACAAACAAGAAAACCAGAAAGACGGCTGACAGATCTAAGTTAACCGTCACTCGCTCCACAGAAACTAATTTAACAGGTAGACAAGCCCGCCCATTCACTATATTACAATAACTTTGAACTTTTTAAAATCGTTATTTATGATCCGCTTCGTCAGTTTCATCTAGCATATCCATGTGATGCTAATTAAGTTTACTAATGCAGCCGAAGCTCCGGTTAACAAAGCGGCTCGAGGAGCATTTGTGATGGCTGTTTTGCTAACGTTATTTACCATTACAGACTGATATTTGCGCCTCGCGTTTTTAAATTTGAAACTCATACTTGCATATGTTTTTGAAATCAATGTTTTCAGAGCAAAGGCTGATGTTTAATATGAAGTTCTCTCTGCTCTCATGATCTCCCAGTTGCCTTCTTTTCTTTGACAGGATAAAGAGTGTGTGAGAGTGTTTGAGTTAATGTGTGTGTGTGTGTGGTTGTCCAGGTCGCAGCACTCGGTGAGAGCGCGGCTAGTGAATAGAGCGACCACGTAACCCAAGCGCCTCTCCTCTCTTCATGTCTTCCCGCTTTCCTCCTGGATTGGTTTACCTATTGTATCTCAGCCAGATAATATTGTTTGTCGCCGAGCCGCTGGGTAACACAAGCCCGCCGGGGCAGAGAGGAGAGGAGAAAGGCTCCTGAGGAGATGAATGGAGACCCAGAGAGAGAGGAGGAGGAGGAGGAGGGAGAGAGATGGGCCAAGGAGTCCCAGAAAACAGGCCCTCAGTCTGGGTCAGCAGACGGGAACCCCACACACCTGGGACAGAGAGCCACAAAACAGCCCTCTGCCTGCTCTCTCTGCCTGGACGCTTTGTTTAATAGCTTCCTTTTTTGTTCCATGTCAAATGGGTTTGTAACGACATACAACATACAAGTGAGTAAATGATGACAGATTTTCATTTTTTGGGTGGACTGTCATTTTAAAGTAGGAAAAACAGCCTGTTTAATTCGAAGGGTCAGATAGAGGGTGGATTTTCCTTCCTCCCCAAATCATTTATATCATCTGTGCTAACAGCCTGTCAAGATCGTGCAATTTCACAAGTCATAATGTCACCAACATATCCGTCTAAACACACAAAAATCTCTCACAATAGATATAACTATGTGCCCTCTATTTGGCTCTCCTAGACAGTCCATCATGTTGAGTGATGTGCAGTGCTTACACATTACTGCTGTCTAACTCTGTCTCAGAGACGCAGGAGCTTTACGGCCTCCATCACCTATAGAGCAAGTTGCTACTAGTGTCTGAGGCGGTTATTATCATCTGACACACACATTCTGATGATAAGCATAACTAGCTGCAGGGTGCACCGTGACATCTAATATAAGAAAGATATGGCCTTGTAGTATACCAGTGTAGTTCTGAAATGAGTGACACTAGTTTTAAACACACATGTCTGCAGTGGAGTCAAAACTACATGAAACTGCATTCACACTGCATTTAACTTCTATAAAAAGACATATTTGTGAAAGTGAGAAACAATATTTGGTGGGAAATAACAGTGGCAGGACTTAAGCATATCCATCGGGATTCGATTAGAATATGAATGTTATGCTGTGATATTATTGGTTAACATTTTCTGCCTACAAGTCTTTTGTTACATCAACATAAACGATTATGGCAAATATGGTAAATTTTTAATGTTATGGTGTCTTTAAAGTCAACATACTGACCCATTATTGCATGTTGCACAGCTCACTGTGCATGATTAATCATTGTGTTATATAGCTAAAAAAAGTTTGTATTTTATTAATAAAAATGTATAAAAAAAATAATAATAATAATAAAATACTACTACTACTATTACTAGTACTAGTACTACTAATAATAATTTAAATTAATATTAACTAATAATAAAAATTAAGATTTTAATGCATGAA